TCCATAGAATCAAAGAATGCTAGGGGGAATATTATTTCTAACTTACAAATTATTTCAACAATCTTTGCCTCCCACTTCTGCATCTCAGTAACTTTAATGACCGGGGAACAAAGCGAACGAAAAAAGTTACTAATGTTGGTCAAAGGACCCCAAATAGCAGATGGCAATAAACTGCGAAAAGCAACTGGAATTAGTCGTTGCATGAAAACATGACAATCATGACTTTTCGTCCCAAATAACCTGGACTCATTCAAGTTGACACATCTTGATATGTTGGAAGCAAACCCATCTGGAAAGCGCAACTGTTTTAGCCATGCATATAGAAGCTATTGTTTTTTAGATGTCAGTGCATAACTAGCATTAGGTTTCACAAGCTTACCATACGTATTATATCCCATGTGCAGTTTTCTTCGGTCACAATAAATGGCTAAATCCAATCTTGCTTTCCCATTGTCTTTTGTCTTATTGTCATTCATAACAGTGTGTATTATATTATCAAAGAAATTTTTCTCATAGTGCATTACATCAAGATTATGTCAAATAAGATTATCATGCCAGTAAGGAAGTTCCCAAAAAATGCACATTTTCACCCAATTATGGATGTTCCCAAAACCCTCAATTGTTTGGTTTTCAAAAGGTTTCCCAAACAACACATCAAGAAGGTTTTCAACTGGATGACACATTGACACACCGTCCAATCGAGGAGGGGGATTGCCTAATTCCACCTAACCCTTCAAGAAATTACTCTGATCAAATCTGAAAGAATATGATTATGGTAAAAACTGACGATGACAATAAAAAAAACATGGTTTCCGACCATTTTGAAGATAAAAAGATTGTGTCATCTCCATACAGTAAGGACATGACAATTGGCCATGAGTGGTCCAACCAGCCACCATACCATAACCCGGAAAATCAGTTATGGTCCACATCAACATAGCCCGCATTATAAAGTTTTGCTTACGATAACTATCATATGTTTCTACACCAGTCGACCATAACATTTTCAAGTCTTCAATTAAAGGTCGAAGGAAAACATCGATATTTTTGCCTGGGCTTTTTGGACCAGCAATGACCAATGTAAGAAAAGTAAACTCTGGTCGCATGCACATCTCTGGTGGCAAATTATAAACAATTAAAAAAAATGGCCAACAAGAGTAGGAGGTTGAAGAATGAGCCCATGGGTTGAAACCATCAGTAGCAAGACCTAATCAACATTACGAGGTTCTCTTTTAAAAGAAGGATGCATTTGATCAAAATGTCTCCATGCTTCTGATTGTGCTGGATGAATGACCTCATCCGTATCACCACAACATTTCAAATGCCATGTCATGTGCTCAGCTATTTTTCGAGACATGTATAGCCTCTGAAGGTGAGGTATTATTGGCAAGTACCAAAGAGAATTCCTCAGAATGTCCTTTTGTCTATTCCTTCCTGGATTTCTCTGTTTATACCTCGCTTCTCCACAAATTGGACATGTAGTTAATGTTTTCGTATGCTCCCCATAGTATAAAAAACAGTTGTTAACACAAGCATCAGTTTTTAAATAACCTAACCCAAGCCCCTTCATATATTTTTTTACTTCATAAAAGTTTGAAGGAACTTTTTCTTGATCTTCAACACTTAACAACCTTCTACATCCTTTGAGAATGGCATTAAAACCATTAGCACTTATATTATTTGTAGTCTTTGTATGCAACATATAAGAAAGTCAGCTAAGCACTGTCTCATTTCTTTTAGCACTACCAAGTGGAATTGTAGATGCATGAAGCAAGTCATAAAATGCCTTTACTTGATTGTTTGGTTTCTCGTCCAGATGTTGATTGGGGAAATTACCTTCCATTTCCCGATTAT